CTATGGGTTCGATTATTACCAAACATGGGCTTACTGTCGGATAAATATGGTATAAACAACTACTATGGGGACAATAACCCAGCTCAATACATACATAATTTTATACTCATAAAATATAACGGTACTTGAAATATTAAGTTGTATACGGTGTTCCGCAAAACCNCCCCCCCCCCAAACTATGAATTGTACTCCCGTGTTTGAAGCCTTTATTTATGTTATCGTTATAAATACACAGTAACTTATGTTAATTAATTAAGGGTTTCAAACAGAATTTTTAATTTTGCAAATTGTACCTATCAAGTTTAACATTCAGGGGTAACACCAGTACTGTAAAGTTTAATACTCAAGACATGATATTGATGTAAATAATTGTAAGTGTTAATTATAACATTGTTATTGTTTTCATATAAAAAAAATATAAATATATACATTGTACACTGTCAATATCTATAAGTTTTTTGTGTTCAGATTTTTTGGAATACTTGCATACAGTGGATTTATCACTGGATAGTGGACATGTATACGTACGTAGTGCACATGTATATGTATTACATCAATACATCGCAAAGACCATCTGGTTTTCAAGTACTTGGTACGAAATTACTATGAAATGCACAAGACTTCTGCGATTACAGTGATTTCCCCAGGCCCATTTTGCTGGGCGCAGAGCCTGGCGCTAAATAAGTTAATAACCACCAATTTTGCTACATGGCGCCCAGCGCTATAGCGCTAGCCCTTATAATATGTTTATACATAACAATCATTGGAAATAATGCATGAAGTTTTCAAAAGTATATGTATGTTGTTTGTATTTGCAGGAATACAACTCGGGGACAAACAGGTACAATGAATGTCATGTGATTATTGTCTCTCTCATCTACTGTCACAATTAATATTGCAATTGGTTCGACACATGAACTACATTGTGTCATTGTCTGTGATATGAATCGCACTTGTTAGAATAGTCTATGATGATATATAACACTTGTTAACATATCAAACGTGCAACACATATATTAAATATCACTGTCATTGTCTGTGATAATAGCACTTGTTAGATGACTCTAAACATTTCAAACCCTGATATGAAGTTTTCTGGACATGTGACCACATATATATATATATAGGTAACATTTATAGAAGTTTTCTGGACATCTGACCACATATATAGGTAACATTTATAGAAGTTTATGCCACATGGCACCTATAGCTTCTATATGTCCAACATCTAACTCGACCCCCTTACTTCTTACTTCTTGTCGAAACTGCCTCTGTAACCTTCCAACCTCGGACTGTAGCAGTTTGATTTTACTGTGTTGTTGTTTAAGTTTGTCGATCAGGGCTTTCCTGTTCATATTTCTGTGTCGAAATTTTTTCTGCATGTAATTTGGCGTTGGGCTGGTTTTGAGTATACGTGATTTCTCCTCTTGCCGTAACCTCCGGTCCCTTAAATTCCGTCGCACTTTTGAACAGGGTTGACACCTCGCACCTTGTACCAACAATTTACACAGTGTACTACGAATTGTTGAAGTGTAATGTAAATTACCTTTCACCGCACTCAAGTCTCCTTCTCTATAGGCGGAAGTGTCTCCAGACATATCTTGTTTAGCACGTCCAATGCCAACCAGATTTTGAAAGCACTCATCGGGACTCCCAACACAAACAGAAAAACTCAGTAGTTTCTTCACAATAGCACTTATTTTCAATGGCGTATCAAACTTTGACGGTAATCCCATCCAAAAGTCATGATCGCGACATATTTCGATTCTATGAACAAAAAGTTTAGCGCTTAGATCCTTGTCAATTGTAAGAGACAATTTCACAGTTGGTTGACTTACATCATCATTGGTAGGGTACAGTTCAATAATTTGTATTAGTTTTGAATTGGAGTTTAATTGATAAGGAAACATTACAACATTTGAGATGTTGGATTTTAGATGGTCATAAATTGGCACTGGATCCGGACCTATCTCACATTCTGGGGAATTCAACTCCCGTTCCTTTTCCAAGTCAGTCTCGCACTGTGGTATAATATCACTCTCATCTAGGGTCACAATTGGCTCGACACAGGCGCTATCACTGTCATTGTCTGTGATAATAGCACTTTGTAACATACACATATCAATCGGCTCAATACACTTTGTACCGATATCACTGTCATTGTCTGTGAGAATAGCACTTGTTAACTCAGCACACGCTGTATTACTGTCAATATCAGAGATTGTGACTATATTGTCAATCAGTTCAACACTAATATCACTCTCATTGGCTGTGATGGTAGAAAGTGTTACACCTTTTTCGTCCTGATTATACAACACTCCCTCATCCAGGAATCCAGGTGTGGTACTGACCAGTCTACATGGTTGTTTCTGCATTCCAATACATTTTGCACTTACAGCATACGTATGGAGATTATCCGAAGACAAACTATCTTCCTTTGTTGATATTTTGGTCGATTTTGATTTCGATTTCTTTCGAGGTCCAATGGATTTTCTTCTAGATGTTTTCATCATGATTGCTAAAAAAACAGGAACAAATTAGTCAAATATTATTCTGATATAACACCAAGAAAATACTATGTAATGTTAACAGAGCTCCAGATAAGGGATGTACAGGCATACAGTCTTATTTATAAGTTATAGTAATACATTGTAGTATGCTAACATGGGTGTCCGGTTTTCAGTATGCTAGAAATTATTATCATCTAAGTACTACTTTATATCACCTACTGGTATCTCGATAAATTCACTTTTATGTTTTGAGAACTTAGGAACGACTTAAGAACTTAACATGACATTTCACTGCCATTGGGAAGTTGTTTTTTCTCAAACTATAATGTGTGCGTGCGCGAACTTGAGAAAAGAAATGACGCCACAATCTGAAATAACGTCATTGCGATTTTACTTCCGGTGTAAGGACGTCCATGTGCAAGTCATGTTGGACATTATAGACCCGTACACGTTCGCTGTTCCACTTTCAGTGTACCGTTTGCGTAGCATTTCCATACCGTTTGCGTAGCACTTGCGTATCATTTCCGCAGTACTCCCAGTATACACTACAGCTGTAGTGTATTTGGCCGCCTAGTATACAGTACAGCTGTAGCGTATTTGGCCACCCAGTATACAGTACAGCTGTAGTGTATTTGGCCGCCCAGCATACAGTACAGCTGTAGTGTATTTGGCCGCCCAGTTTACAGTACAGCTGTAGTGTATTGGGGCCGCCCAGTAAACAGTACAGCTGTAGTGTATTTGGTCAATTTTTATCCAACACTTTCAGTGCTCTATATAGGTAATGAATAAACTAGAACACTAAAATTCTCCCTCAGCCAGGTTCTGCCATGTGCCTGACATACATCCCCTCACCCCCTCACCTCCCCCCCCTCCCCCCCCAGTCTTTTATTAGTAAGTCACCTTTGATCTTGACCTTAAACACTTTTTGAACACCTTTTGCCATTCTACATATCAAAGTGTATCACCATGTCAAATTGGAAAAAGATTACTCTTTTGGTTTCAAGGATAATTTCCGTAAACAAAAGAGCACATGTGGACAGATAGACAGATGGACACCGTGATTACTATAGGGCACCCGCATCTCCAATGTTTGCCCAAACCCACTGACCCTAGTAAGTATGTAAGTGTACTGACCTATCACCCACTGACCCTAGTAGGTATGTAAGTGTACTGATCTATCACCCACTGACCCTAGTAGGTATGTAAGTGTACTGACCTAACACCCGCTGACCCTAGGAGGTATGTAAGTGTACTGACTACACCCGCTGACCCTAGTAGGTATGTAAGTGTACTGACCTATCACCTGCTGACCCTAGTAGGTATGTAAGTGTACTGACCTATCACCCACTGACCCTAGTAGGTATGTAAGTGAACTGACTACACCCGCTGACCCTAGTAGGTATGTAAGTGTACTGACCTATCACCCACTGACCCTAGTAGGTATGTAAGTGTACTGACCTATCACCCGCTGACCCTAGTAGGTATGTAAGTGTACTGACCTATCACCCACTGACCCTAGTAGGTATGTAAGTGAACTGACTACACCCGCTGACCCTAGTAGGTATGTAAGTGTACTGACCTATCACCCACTGACCCTAGTAGGTATGTAAGTGTACTGACCTATCACCCGCTGACCCTAGTAGGTTTGTAAGTGTACTGACCTATCACCCACTGACCCTAGTAGGTATGTAAGTGTACTGACCTATACCAGGCGTCTTGGGTGAAAGCGTCCGGTTCCCTGGCTTATTGTAAGGATGGCGCTTAGCTAATGACATATCTGCTGCTATACCTGCGTGATTATAATCCTGAAAGTAAACAAGATCAATAAAATGCAAATTCTATCATTTCTTTTATTTTCAAAGAAAATTGTACCCCAGCAATAAGACCTCAAGAAATGTTGTCTGTAACACAATTTTAGAAGTTGTTTATTTGAACAATTTTCTTTAAAGAAGTATAGGGACAAACTTATAGGTATGCAAGGACTGTGGTCAAAGTTTGCTAGGACTGTGGTCAAGGTTTGCTAGGGCTGTGGTCAAGGTTTGGTAGGACTGTGGTCAAGGTTTGGTAGGACTGTGGTCAAGGTTTGCTAGGACTTTGGTCAAGGTTTGCTAGGACTGTGGTCAAGGTTTGCTAGGACTGTGGTCAAGGTTTGGTAGCACTATGGTCAAGGTTTGGTAGCACTGTGGTCAAGTGGTCAAGGTTTGGTAGGACTGTGGTCAAGGTTTGGTAGGACTGTGGTCAAAGTTTGGTAGGACTGTGGTCAAGTGGTCAAGGTTTGGTAGGACTGTGGTCAAGGTTTGATAGGACTGTGGTCAAGGTTTGCTAACAGTCATATGGTTATCTGTTTTTTGTGTACTACTTTTGACTTATTATGGAAAATCTTGTTTTATGGGTTCTCCAACTATTCCAGTGATGTCTTAGACTCATGTGGTACAGTTCACTGAGTTAAAGATCTTCTACAAAGGTAAGAGTCTGCCAAACTTAAATGAACACCTATTTATAATATATACAAGAGGCCCATTCACTTCAACTTGGGCCTTAATAGCTCACCTGGTATTTTATTTTCAATTTAAAACCTGCTGAGTACCATACAGGTTTATCAAAGGAGTACAAGAAACAAAGTTGCCAGAAGAACTACATGTAAACCTGTTTTGGTGGATAAGACACCAAGAAAGCCAAGATAGCCTCCAGGGATTGGTCCGGACTGGCCCTCCGGGGGAGGGGAGTTCTTTTCTCAAAGATGCTCTAGAATTTTGATGAAATTCCCTTCATTAATAAAAAAGAGAGAACAATTTCCTATTTTCCTCTAACTCCCCTGTTGGGCCTCACATGTACCTTTTTATACAAATTAAACAAATTAAGGTTTTTTCCCCCCTAAACATGCTTCAGACCACGTTTGGTTTAAATCCCTTCAATTGTACAGTAGGAGAAAACATTTCCTCTATTTCTCCTCTTGGGCCCTACTCCTCTGCCNCCTCTTGGGCCACACCCTCTGTTTACACAAACTTGAGGCTCCTTTGACCAAAGATGCTAAAGAACAAATTTGGTCAAAATCCTTCTATTTGTTGAGAAGATGATTTTTAAAGATTTACCGATTTTCCCCCTATTGGGCCCCGCTTCTCTGACCCCAGAAGAGCCACACCCTCTGTTTATACAAACTTGAGGCTCCTTTGTCCAAAGATGGTCTAGAACAAATTTGGTCAAAATCCTTATTTTGGTTGAGAAGAAGATTTTTAAAAATTTACCTGTTTTACCCCGCCCCTCTGCCCCCAAGGGGACCATACCGTTCGTTAATACAAAACTGAGAACTCTTTGGCCAATGATGCTTCCA